CTGTACATCATTTCACAAACCTGGTATTGTTTCAGTTGGAAACAATCCATTTACTTTAGTAGGTTTAATAAATGATTATGGTATGTTCATATTTTGGAAACAAAAATAGAGCTCTTTTCTTTGAAATATGTGTTCTGAATTTAAGATGCTGGGGTTTTTTTTGTTTTTGTTTTTACTAAGCAGAGGTTTTTGCAGATATGTAAGTTTTGCAGTTTTAAACATTTTGTTCTCACACATACTTGGACCAAATTTCTCTACTGTTCGTTCAGTAGAGAAAAATGAAACAGGAGGATAATTGCATAATGACAGATAGGAGGGGAACAGAGAATCCACTGATCATTTCCTATGAGTTGGCCAATGTCCAGCAAGTCTCAAAGGACACTGTGATGTGTAAAGGATAGAGGAAAAGAGCTAGTTTTGATGGAGCATTTCCCTGTCGGCTCGTTTTACTTTGGAAAGCAAATCACTGAAACAATTAGTTGACAGCATGGTGTTAGTTTTCTCATGATAAATTAAGAAGATTAAGCAAACACAGAACTGCATTTTAACTATGATTAGCATGTTTGGATCTGCAGTCTGTAATGATTTCCAATTTTCAGAAGAAGTTACATTAGTAATATTATTTGTATTGTCTTTTTTAATCAAGTATAAAGTTATTTAGTGACTTTCTATGTTCTTCATTTCATTTAATCAAATCGGATAACATAATTTTGGATGTTACAAGATTTGTTGTGTATAATTTTATTACATTGGTTTTCCTAAAGTACAATGAAGAATAAAATAGTGTTTATATTCCAGTGTCACTCGACATTTGAAGAACATATAAAATAATAAAATGATGTTAATATATGTAAAATATGATCCTGCTTCATGAGAAAGTCAGCTACAAATTTCCACTTCTTATTTTGTATTTAGTTATATATTTATAAGCAAATATTGAAATAACGTTTAACCTTTATTTTAAATTTGTAAAAATGAAGGACTTGTAAACTAATTGTTTTGTATAATTAGATTCTTGCAAAAGTAAGCCTCAGTCTTTCCTATCTAAAGAACTTTTTCTCTTACCTTCATTCCATGTAATATATATATTAGACATAAATACTATCTAATTACTAAGAAACCAAATGTAGTATATGAAGGAAATATGGTTTCTGGAGACCAACTTGTACATACACTTGTTACTGCTTATTGACACATTTTGCATTTTCTTTTGCCCATTTCTAATTTATGGACCTTCTATCAGCATCTCTATCTTTTATTTGTTCAATGACTTCAGTTTGTCACATCAATTAGTAGTATCTTTTATTCATTTAAATTAGTTTACCAGCAGTCTTTGCAAAGTGTTCTTGTATCAGTTTTGGATATTTTCTATCTCTTATTGTAATTTAGTTTTAGTGGACTATTATAATTTTTTTACATTTAACAAATTATAGTTAAATGACATAACTTGGCGTAATGTATTGACATTCCAATAAGAGAATATTTATAGCTGAGGGTTGAAATGTGAGATTATTGTATTGACATAGTTTAAATTCAGAATATTCATTGTAAAAAGTACTTTACAAACAAACTTAAAAACAAGAAATAATGATATGTCTACAAAAGTTTCACATTTTTTTTCTCTGTTTAGAATTCTAGATTGAGTCTAAGATATTTATGTTAAAGAGTAGCTATTTACTTTAATTATAAATATGCACAGAACTTTATTGTTACTTATTTCCTTTTACAAATGTGTTTGGCAATTTAAAATGCATCAGAACTTTCTGAGAACCTTTGAAATTATCAGTCAATCAATTTCCAAAAGTATACTGATAAAAATAAAAGAATTGTCTAGTTATCTGCCTTTGAATTTGATTTGAATCAAATCTCAATTATCCCAGTTTAGCAAATTAAGGTTTGCAGAAATTAAGTCTTGAAACCTATTGAAAGTGAAAATTGCACTTAACCTAGATACTGAATAAAACTATAAATACCTCTATTTAAAAAAAAATAATCCAAGCACAGGATGTTTAGAAAATAAATACAATAGGTAAATGAAAAATTAAATGGATTCCGTCAGTTTAATGTGTTGTGCGATTATTTCTATGTTTATTTATTCATCATTCCCAGAGTAAAAGTAGCTTTGTTTCCTTTTCTACCTGTCTTTTGTAGTGGATACTAAACATCGTTCCTGCTGACTAATGTTCCTGCTTTGATTTTTCCCTTTGTCTTCTTCATTGAGAATGGCTTCTCTTTACTTTTTCTCTCCTCTTCTCTCACAATCATGCCTCTTTCGGCCTTTTTGGTTTGTTTTGAATTGTTTTCCCTACTATTTCTTTCCCTGCCATCAAAATAACACTCTTACCCAAAGCAGTGCTCCAATAATGCATTCTCACTTCTTTAAGATGTTTCTTTAACATCTGAAATTTAGTCAAAGGACGTTTCTAACAATCTCACACTGATTAATAGCAAATAGTGGAATAGATATTGCCTAGAATTTTAAAATCTAGCTAGCTACTATAGATGGGTAGATCATTTGCTGCTCTTAGTTTCAATCATTGTTAAAAAAAAGATAAAAACTATAATAGCATTAGCAATAATTTAAACAACAAAAGTGATTATTATAGTAAAGGTTATAATATAGAGAACAATCTTTTCAAATAGCAATCCTCTTTCTTAAAGCTATTTTTTAAAATTTCTGTGAGAAAGGAAGAGAAAAAGAAAAATCAACTGAATCCATAGTTCTTAAGTCACTTTTCTTCTTTCATTTATTTCAGCGTAAATAACCTTTCCTTAGAGACTTTGAGACCTGTCCAAAACAGTGTAGGATATAATCCAGAAGCTCCAAGGATAAGGAACAAACCAATAAAACTGTACCCCATCCATTTTCTTTTCCTGCTTCCCTTACACTACTTTTTACAGAAGGATTTTTTGAATTTAAATTAATGTTTCTTTTCCATAAAAAGCTGATTATGTTACATACATACATACATACATACATACATACATACATACATACATACATACATACTGTATAATATAATTATTCTTTTCTTCACTTGCAAGATCCTGAAACTATCAACAAAAGAAACTTTATTCTTAAACTTTTTATGTTGTTCTAAAATAAGTTGCAAATCTGAATGTAAATTAGAATGAATAAGCAAAGTATGTATATTTGTTTGGACACATACTCAAAAATGTAAATGTACATATGGGCCTTTATTTACAATCACAATTGGGACCAGAATTTAGTCATTGCAGTCATAAATTGAATCAGATCTGATTTTATGATGCTAGTTAAGCAAACCCAGCTTATCTTATGGCTGTTATTTTGCCCGAAATCAGCAAAAAAGTAACATGACCACTGGTAAATGCAAACTGGTTACCAAATACCCGAATTACTATTACATGACAATAGGGATGATGGCCCATTCATGAGTTCAGTTTGTGCAGGTCAGTTTGTTCAAGGACATTATAACTGAAATATTGTTAATTGAACAGTCATAAATTAAAGATTACCTGTAAAGAGCAAACAACTTTTGCTAATTGTATTGATGATGGAAATATCTATTTGCATTAAATACACTGTTAGTTCAGAGTTGTTGGTGTGAAACTGAGAAATATGTCTTAGAGGGTGGAAGTTTTCTTTCTACTTTGTTTCTTATTTTTGTTCCAACAATGGGACAGAATTTTAATTAGAATAAATGTATGGAATTTTAGAAGCAAACTTTATATGAAAAATGTGTAATTTTTGAAATAATTATTTTTATTTTATTAAGTTTGTGAGTTTGATTTTACTAAACTTCAGACAGATTGTAGCAGTTTGTTTTATCCAATCTCTCTTTTCTCATCCTACCTATTCAGTATTTAAGTCCTAATGCTGTTTCAATTATTCTAAAGGTATCCTGTGTTTTCTCTATTTAGAAGACTTACACGCATAGTCATCATGTGAGGCCATTCTTCTTCTTTTTTTCTTATCTGAGGTTGTTGACCTCAGGAGAGGTGAAGAAGGTTATGGGGTCAAAGTCTTTTCCTCCTTGGAACTCACTGCTTGCTGGGAGAGGGTTGGCTGAGAAATAGATGTTTTTTAAAACAAAGGTTAAGGGTCATGATTTTAATTCTGTTAGAGAACAGCTGTTTTGAGTTTCTTTCCACTTCTAGCTCCCCTCCCTCCCTTCAAGCCCATAGAGAGATAGAAAAAATTGTTCATAGAGGAACAGTAACACAGAAATATGCAGCTCTGGAGTATTACAGCTTTACAAATGGATCATCTTTGCTATTGGTATTTACATTAGGACTTTTAAAACAAAGAAGCAATAGACTTTGGACTTAGATTAAACACAATTCTGAAAAATATCAGTACTAACAGTAGTAGTGATTCTGTTGTTTAATGTTGAAATAATAATATATATTCATTTGCCCAATTATTAGCAGATAAATTAATATTATACATATGAAGGACTTGTTCTATGCAGTGGCTTTAAGAAGTAAATTAGAGCATTCTGTAGATCTTCAAAGTGTTTCTATTTTACTCTGGGTTTGTGCTTTTCAGAAAATGCAGAAATAGTGGGAAACGAATAACTTTTTCTTTTTTGTTTGCACTCTTTAAAAATGTTAGCCCCGGGCTGTATTAGTGTGTGGCTCAACAGCAATCAGAGGTCATAGTTTCATTGGTGGTTAGCATCAGATTTAATTTTTCTAATAAGTTACATTTACCAAGAAATCTGGTTTGAGTTATACACACGCACTGCCTGAAAACCCTTTGGAATAACTTAAAACTTGAGGGTGGCTTAAAATGTATAAGAATGTACATAATTATTTTAACAACTTTCCTTCCAAGTGCAGTTTTTTTCCTAAATTGTAAGAATAGTGACTAAAATTACTTTTATCAATTCAGTTATAGCAGTATAAAAAGTATGAAAATATGATTGTTGATTTGCATGTCTTTAAAAATTGTTAATATTTCTTGTGTTGCAATTGGCAAATTAAAGTAAATATAGTGCATTTTTCCTCCATTATAGGAATGTGACCAAGTTCATATTGATGATGTTTCATCAGATGATAATGGCCAGGATTTAAGGTAAATTTAAAGTAATATAAGACAGTGATGGAAAAAGTAGAAGTTTTTGTTTCTTTGCTTGCTTGTTTGCTGCTTGTTTATAATAATTTCCAAGTACTGTTATTTCTATTCTTTTTCAAGTTGTCTAAATTGCCAGTATAACAGTCAGTTATCTTGAACCATCTGATAATTTTTAAATTTTCCTTACATCTAAAACAGCACCTATAACTTCGGGACAGATGGGTTTCCTGCAGCAGCTACCAGTGCTAATCTATGCTTAGCAACGGGGGTGCGTGGAGGAGTGGACTGGATGAGAAAGCTAGCTTTCCGATACAGACGAGTAAAAGAAATCTATAACACCTATAAAAATAATGTTGGAGGCAAGTACCTATCATATCCCTGTCCATGTAATTACTGTCTCATTGCTGTGTGATTTTTTTGAATCTTGTGGTTATGTTTTCCCACCTAGTTACAGTTATAAATTCTATAGAACTGTACAACTTGGTAAGGGATTATAGTTGACATGTAAATGCTACAGTGCTTGTTCTCCGTCACTCATCCCCTGGCAGGTCTTCTGGGCCCAGCAAAGAGAGAAGCTTGGTTGCAGCTTAGAGCAGAAATTGAAGCCCTTACAGATTCGTGGTTAACACTTGCACTGAAAGCACTCACACTAATTCACTCTAGGTAAGTAGATTTCACATACGTAGTAATGCAAATTAACTGGAGCTATAATGCTACATTTTACAATTCTGTAAGTTACAATTAATACATTATGCACTGCTAGGAATAGCTGGTTTAGTTAAATTATAGCTTTCTAAAATATGACATTTTAAAAATTGGTGAATTGATGTGCAGTGTTGTTATAAAAGTGGACTTGAATTGTTTCATTTTCCCCTATTGCATCATGCTGTAGTTGATTAGTTGATAGTGATTGCAGATTTAATTGATTATATAGAATCATTTAACTGATTATATAGAATCATTTCTACATGTCCCAGATAAGATAGCAGTAAAATTTAACTCTTTAATTTATTAAATTTATTCTTAGGTTCATAGATTGTGTTTGCCAGAAAAGTCAAGAAACTATACAGAGCACTTCCCCACATACAACAGTTTTACCTCACAGTAATAGCCCTATAAGGTAGATTTGGCCAATTACTATCTTTTTATCCATACATTTCATAAATTTTCACTCTTTTCCTATTGTACTGCATCCTATAACTGTTTAGTTTCTGTCTTATGATGCATACAGAATAGTTCTAAACTATAATTACATAATGTCAGAAAAACACCATTGCTTTACTAATAGCATGATGATCATCCAGTATAACTTTCTTCAAGGGATAAAGGATAAGAAAACATGAGTGCATTTGAAACACCAGGCATAAGGACATGATTTCTCTGTTGTTACATTATATTTCATCAAGCAATCCAGTAAAGGTTTCATCCTTTTTTCAAAGGATGTATATGACTACACCAAAAACCCCTCTTCTATCAAGCCCTATATATATATATATATATTTTAAATCCTCCTTTCCACTGCTTGCCAAGATGAGGAGAGGGACAAACTAGGAATGTATGCAGACTTTCAAGCTTTCCTCCCACCAGTCTATTCACCCATTAATAGTTGGAAGAATCTGTTGGAATTCAAGTTCTAGAGTTTCACAGTAATAGGTAGCCCTTGTCATTTTCCTCCTCCTTTTGCATAAGGAGTGTATGACTCCACTTTTACCACTCTGCTCAGTCACATAGCCCCTTCCTAGTCTGATCCCCAGTTTGCCAGTTTCAGGTAGCACTACATCTGCATTCCACAACAAGTATCCCACTTGTGATATGTCCAACCAATTACAAAATGTTCACTATTGGGACAAAGTATTTCTGTGCCATGAAAAAGTGGGATTTCTAGAACAGCTAACAAGAATATCAGGACTCCAACCAAACTCCTGTAGTTTACCAAATCAGACTCTCTCTCCTAGGTCATTATGGGAAATATGGCCCTATATTGAATAGACCTTTGTATGGTACTTTTTGAGAGGTAAGAGCAATGCTATAATAAACATATAGAATCTGCATTAATACTATAGGGACCTAGTCTTCTCCATCAATTCTTGAGAATAATCCCTACCTTTAAATATCTATTACTGAGGTATGCTTTATACCTCCTAGTATCAATCCTGTTAAGAACTGAGAGCCAGAAAAAGAGCAAAAACTAGAGAATTTGTAGTGATTGTATATTGGATTCCATATGAATACCATTTCTCCATCTATGAATCCTTTCTAGCCTTAATTGTACAGTAAATTTTATTTCCAGGTTTTTAAATGAAACTAATAATTTGTTATTTATTTTATTATTATAACATACTTCTTTACATTTTTCTAGGACAAATTGTGTCAATATTTTAGTAACGACTACTCAGCTTATCCCAGCTCTTGCCAAGGTCTTGCTGTATGGTTTGGGTGTGGTATTTCCAATAGAAAATATTTACAGTGCAACAAAAATAGGTGAGTATTTACAATGAACAGAACCTGTTATTCATGTTCAAGTTCATACTCTTCAAGTTCCAAATCCAAAATGTCATTGAGCAGTTAGAACAGATCATATAATTATTTCAAACTAATTGTTATTGATAATTCTTATCTGGATCATTAAATGGTTTGTTATTATGCTTTCATTTATTATCTGTGGTTTGTTATTTGAACATTTATTTCAATTGCCCATTTATAACTTAATAATCTTAGTATCAAGTCAAATAAATTTTATCTACTACATACAAGAGTTCAGGAATAATTATCTTACACTATAAAGCAAATGTGTCCAGCCATTTTATTGCTTCCTAAACAGAAATAAACTACACTATTCTTTTCCAGATTGGGGCTTGATAATATGCTTGAATTTTCCAGGAAAAGAAAGCTGTTTTGAGCGCATAATTCAAAGATTTGGAAGAAAAGTAGTTTACGTTGTCATAGGAGATGGTGTGGAAGAAGAACAAGGATCAAAGAAGGTAATGATACGGGTATTTGTATGTGGATCTTTGGTTATTCGGGTTTTCTCCCACGTAAAATTGGAAGTATCTAGGTGACGTTTCTATGAAGTCTCATTCATCATCTTCAGGCTTGTGTCTTCGGCTTTGTGCTTCTCAGAGTAATGTGAGCTTGCAGCTGCTTCTTCCTTTTAACTGCTGGTGGGGGTGTGACTTGATTGGTTGGGGGCTTGGCTGTGTTCTGATTGGGTGGGGGTGTCTTCTCATTGGTTGGGGGTTTGGCTGTGTTCTGATTGGTTGGGGAGTTGTCTGTGTTCTGATTGGCTGGGGGTGTGTTCTGTTCAGGTGGGGGCTTGGTTGTGCTCAGGTTAGTCTTAGTTGCTGGGGGATTTGAGCTGGTGAGCTGTGATCCTGCTGTTTGGCTTCGCGTTCGTGGTCGTGCCACATCTTCATGGTGGGCGTCAGTTCGCTTCATGTATGGGTCGGAGGAGTTTGAAGCGGGTAGTAATGTAGCTGCGGTGCGGCTTCTGGTCCGTGGTCGTGTCTCATCTTCTGTGTGGGTGTGAGTCTGCTTTCTACATGGAAGTATGGTGGTAGCATCTTGTGTGGCCCTCGTGGGTGTGGGTCTGGTGTCATTCTTCATGAACAGACGAGTACCTAACATGAAGAATGACACCAGACCCACACCCACGAGGGCCACAGTCTGGTGGAATCATCTCTTCTGTTCATGCTTTCAGGTCTTTTTTCAATCTTTATGGCTTCTCTGAATTCAGCTTTTTTCGGGTATTGCTTTGTTCAGCTTTGTTCAGCCACAGAATTATCAGAGAAGCCATAGAGATTGAAAAAAGACCTGAAAGCATGAATAGAAGAGATGATTCCACCAGACTGTCAATTATTTGGAAGCCTACACTCACAAACAAAAAATTCTCCACACCACTAGCCAGACAAACACCTGGGCACAAACAGATCCCCCCTGATACCTCCAGCTCAAACACACCCAACCAGGCACCCAGATGAAACCTAGCTTCCTAACAAATGATAGCCGTCCATTTACTCGGAGCCAAGCTGCACTAAAAGCCTCCAATACAGGAACACAATATTGCCAGCCAATCAAGACACACAAAAAAGCCACAAAACAGACAAAAGATATTAGAAACACCAATCAAGCAGACCACAGCAAACTCCAAGACCAATAAACACAGACCAAGACTCCCAACCAATCAGGATGAAGAAAAAACCATTCTGGCACAGCAGTAGGCTAGCCCCAAATTTAAAACTGAAACAACTGTAAAAGTCTGACTCACAGACGAACACAATACAGAAGCCTGATGATGGCAGATGATTTTCTGCCGAAACGTTGCTACAACTTTAAAAGCACAACTATAATGACGTGGGGATTTCAAAATAAATCGCCAGTTCCACCACTCCCTGCCAAATTAATATGTTGCCTCAAACAGTATTTGGCCACTTAGAGGATTTAGTGGCCAAAGTCTTCTAAGTTGTGCTTTAAAAAAAAAGTCCCAGAACTTGTGAACTAGTTATAGTTCAACAAACAACATAAAATTGTATGTTAACAACCAACCTCATGATCAAATAAAAACTTTTACCAAACACAAACATTACGTGTGTGTGTGTGTGTGTGTGTGTGTGGCTTCAGGCTTGTTCCAAGGACTATGCATTTGTAGTGTGAACTAGTATGCAGTCTATTATTCTTCTCTCTTTTGAAATTAATGATCTTTTAGTCACACTGTACTGAACATTTTTTTCATACTCTCTTAGGACCAAGCTATCTCTGGTAATATACTTATTTGTCTTCACTGATACTTTCTCTCTAATTTTCCTGAAAAGAAACCATGAAGGCTGGTGCCTGGATTGAAGAACGAAAGGCTTCTTTATTATACATTTGAACAAAATGGGAAACATATTTTTCTATGGGGATGTCTGGTTCTTTTTTAGTGTAGCTTGGCTAGCAGATAGCATTCAGCTTAGATTACCTCATGTACATATTCATGCGTGCAAACATAAAAAGTTCAAACAACATGTTTGATTTTGCAGCCTGCATAGTTACATGCAAAATATACACAAAAGCTTTCATACAGCACCTTTTGTGACAGTTTGCATATTACAGCTACAAAAATTCTAATGTTGATGTTCTACTCACTTTATAACTTTAACTTCATAGTAGTGCTCCAAAAGTTGAAAACAAGCTCCAGAACCCAAGGCTTTACAAATGATTAAAATTTGCATTTAAAGACACCATTAAGCTTAAGAGGATCAGAACACAAGAGCGTGCTCAGAGTCTATATACCAAAGCTCAACAAATCAGTCCACAACCAGCAAAAAAAACTCTAATTAAATGTTAAATCATCCTTAAATTCAACTACATCAGGGCATAATATAATTCAAAAGAATAGAGACATGTACCAAGGCAATCATTTATAGCATTAGATGTTCCATTTACATATATAACACTCAGCCTGTATTCTTGTAATTCCTGTCTTCGTGCATGGTATTTACTGAAATCAACTTTAATTTCTCCATAACAGATTTTTGAAATTGTAGAATTGTATCAATGTGCAAGCAGTGTTTTTGTCTTTGCCTAGAAGAAGCAGCAGATGATGTACCATCAATATGCTGATACCCAATTATACCTCAGGTTGACTAAGTGAGGAAACTAAAGACTTGTCCCAGTGACTGGTGGCTGAATAGGCCTGAATGTGGGGACTAACCAATTCCAACTCAACCTACCAACATTGAAATTGGGCTATAGATATTTGGACCCCTGGATCTGAGAACTTTCCATCCATATCCTTAGATGGAGGTCCAGTTGGACTCACAATGTCTGCTTAAAAAGCAAGTGGCAACTGTAGCCAGGCAGCTTTTACTGAGCAACCTCTATGCACCATTCGTTCCTTTACTGTACTAGGCGGTTCTTCAGACAGTCATTCATGTCCTAATCAGACTCAACTACTGCAAAATGTTGCCCTTGAAATCTATTTAGAAGCTTCAGCTGGTCTGGAACATATAGGCATGGGACACCTCTATTCTCCAAACTTCATTGTGTTTGCTACTTTGCTTCCAGATAAAAGTGTTGATTATTAGCTATAAATCCCTGCAGTTACTTAAAGTACAGCCCACAGTTGCATATTTGGCTGGTTATATTCAAAAGACTTGGAATGAGAGCCCTACTAAAATCCATGTTGCTCCCACAATTAAAACAATGCCATTTGAAATAAAATATTTGTTATAATATAATAAAGAACATGCATGCTTTCTTTCAAGCTTAGAACAGTCAAAATATTGAGTCATTACAGGCTTTACATTATTTCTATAGTTTGTAACTCTTCTTAATCTAGCATTTCTAGTTCTTAAATGCATCCCCATGCTGTTTTCTATCTGTGAGATTTAATAAATACTTAGATCTTTGTTCTCATTAGATGAAGCTGGTTGGGTAATTTTAACTAAGAAAACTTTGATGAAGAAAGAAGTAAGTTCTTAAAGAAACACTTGAAAATCTTTGCCTGCTATAGCTACTGTTTAAGGAAAAATGTCGGGAGAAGAACTGGGGGAAATAAAATAAAATAAAATTTAATGATAAATTTTAAAATCAAATATTGTATTGAAATCTAGGACAGACCTTGGGCAAAGGTAGGGGGATTATACTTTCAGTCCGGCAAGATTGATGTTGGCCTCATGGGGTAAGCCAGGTAAGACTCACAATTAAATGAGCTAATTCTACTTTATTGTAATGCTACAGCAGGGGTGTCAAACTCAAGGCCCGTGGGCCGGATCTGTCCTGTGGGGTGCTTGGATCTGGCCCACGGGGATGCCCTGGAAATAGCAAAGTACCAGCCCATAGTGCCTCTGCATGGCCCTCCCAAGTTCCATTTCTGGCTGCAACAGCCACGTGGAATCCTCTTCCAGCCAAAAACAGCTCAGGGAGGTCCTGCATGGCCCTCTGTCGTTTTTACTGGCAGAGGGCTGCAGGAAGCTATCGCAGCGGAAAACGGAGCCTTGAGTGATATCAAGCTGTCTATGCCCACCCTGGCCATGGCCATTCCTGGTCCCACGTGGTCAGACACAACCCTTGATGCAGCACTCAATGAAATAGAGTCTGACGCCCCTGTGCTTCAGTAACAGAATCTTGCAAGTCTGAAAGTACATTCCACCCTGCCTATCTCCTTTAACGCTTGAGAAACTGGGAGGAACTCTTCTGAACCTCTTGCTTCACCCACGATCCATCTGCATGTTATGCTGTCTCTTATCTGACCATTTCCTTGGCAGTGTCTCTTTGTCCTATCCGCCAAGCTTTTTCCATTGCAAATATTTACCTTGCAATCTATTTCTAATTTAAACAGTATTTCTTTTGTGTTGTGAAAATTGAAAAAGAATTAAGAGAATTGGTAAAAGAATTATGCACTTAAATTTGTGCTAGCATTTAATAAGTAGTTTTTAAAATGTAAAGTACAACTTTACAGTGCTATCCTGATCATGTTTTCTCATGAATTTGGTGAAGCTTTTTCTCATATACTAGGATGTAGGATTGTAAACTAAGAAGGCTACTATGCTTGTGCAATAAATAAATGAATATGAACCATCCTCAGGAGGCATTGCTTTCATGTGTTCTTTGTTGCCGGAAGGAATTTCCAGCCTAGGACACAAGGCAGGAGCCACATTTTCTCCTGGCAAAACAACAGTGAATTAAATGGGATTATATCAACAATGAATTTGGTAACCATATGTATGTATTCCTGCCTAAGAAGAAACATCCTCCTGAGTTAGTGACCATTCAGATTCTTACCTCACCTCAAAAACACTGCTTTTCAAGCGGTCTGTGACTATATTTATATGCCTTCAATGTAAAAGTCTCAATTGTGGTTTTTCCTGAAGCCAGAATAATAAAGGAAACTCTGTGGATCTCTTGCTGCCAATGTTGCCAGCAGGGAGATTTTCCTCCCATTCAGCCTGATCTTTTGGGGAAAGAACAAACTGTGCTGGCTCTTTGCCTATCATAGCAAGTGCACCTTCTCTATTCTTTTGGCCTAAGCTTGGATGAAATTGCAGGAAGATGTGAGCTGGAGCCAGGGCAGAACTCTTTATAACACATGTACAGCACACGGATGGTGTTATATAACCAAAGAATTGCAAATGTTCCTTCCGTTGCTGTATGAATAGTCAGAAGACAAACTAAAATAAAAGGATTAAGTTAGGTACTCTTACATACCACACATACTAATTTTATTCAATCCCAGTTGCTATTTCTCTCAAGTGGTCAAGTCAGAGTTCCACCCTGATTACCAGCTGACAGTCAAAAAACAAGCTGCTATCTTGCCAGCTGCTCTTCAACTGGATGTGTCTAGTCATCTCTGCTGCCAATAAACTAATTCAAGTATGCTGTTAAAATATTATGGCATAGAGCCTAGAATATTCTGTATTGGAGAGTAGATGAATGGTATTCAGAATCAGTATTGTATGCAAGGCTGATATATGGCAGTTGAATAATTAAAATATTTGTCCATGTGATAATAATTAAGAAAAATTATCTGGATAATTCACAGGATAACTGCTGCAGATAAGGATCATGATATATGAACTTTTTTATCTATATATATGAACATACTTACCGTACTAGGAAATATCTCCATCTGAATATTACGACTATTCATCATAATGCTTGGTTATTTACCTAGCCTTTCCCAAATTGCCACATTGAGATTTTTCATTCATAAAAATAAAGGGATTTTTTATTTTTTTTTGCAATTTGAGTTTGTAGTATGTAAAATCAGTATGTTACCGGTACAGGAGGTGTGAGGTGCTATAGAAGATCAGGCAAAAACTACTACCTAAATAAAAAGGGTTAAAACCTTTTTAAAGTCTTAGGAAACAAGATAATATTTAGAAGCAGTTTAACAAATTCTGGTTTGATTCGCTGGAGAGGAGAAGGAAGAAGAAAGCACTTGCAAGATTCCATTATTGGAACTAATGTCTGATCTTCCATGGAGTTCATTTTCTGGCCTGGTCTAGCCTGATGGGTATGATGAAAAGTTGCTTTACCTTCATTCCTAATTTTCCTTTCAAATTAATTGCTATAGCTAACAATACTAATCTTAATATTATTAAATATTTATTGATACTTACAAGTCTGTACAAGCTGTAGCCTGTGTTGTGATGTTTCTTATTTCAAACAATTTTCTTGATGATACCATATAAAGAAAAATATTAAAAAACAGTCCCTTGAACAAAATCTATAATAAAAAAATGTATAAGAACTTGTTGAGAAGATATCTGTACAGTCATTGTAAATAATCAGCATTATTTACAAATATGTTGTAAATAATATTTTATATTCATACTTCCTTGTATATTAAATTTTTTTGTTGGAACATTACCAATGCCAATACGTTATGAAGCAATAGGAAAGGATTAAGTTAAACAATGATATTATAGAATATTTACTTAAACTACTTATTTGTCAGTAAGAAGGCTGCAAAGAAATGTTTGGTAATGAATAGTTTATTAATCATCACACAAAATGTGTCACCAAATTAATAATTTTAGAACTGGTTCTCTTTATTTTGTTTCTGTCTCTCCTAATCCTATCAAAATGGCCTACTTGACTATTGTGAAAAAGAGTTTCCAAAATGCTTTTCAAATTAAAGCATTGACATACAGGTTGATGGGGATTTTAAAAAATTACAGTCTAAGAAATTGACAGTTCAGATAAAGAAACAGCAAGCTGCATGTTAGGAATTTTATGGGATTTTATGAATCGTTTGCTAGGATTCTGAGGGCTACACATGGATTTCCAAATGAAGAATAGAGGTTAATTTGTCCAGTCTTACTTTAACCTGTTCCCATTTTATGGTTGGTGGTAATGGTTATGGAAACATCTGGAGTGGAATTTAAATGGAGTGTAAAATGTTGTGGCTTAAAAGGACATTTGGCAATCCTTCACGTACACACTGTAAATAGCAACACTTAGTAATTTATTCTTTGGATTCCAACTATGAATATTATTTTGTTGTTTTATAAATTGGTACAAATGACAAGAATTAGTGCATCTAAAGATATTGTTGACACATTGTATTATCTTTATGAAGGTCCACTTAAGAAGATCTTTGTAAATCCCCAACCTAAATTGGCTCAGCATTTTTTTAATCAAAGCACTTTGTTTTATTTTGGGATTGCTATTTTCTGAAACATAGGAGATACGTTAGGCCTGACTTAGAGTCACTTGGCAAAAGAATGTCAGAACATTCAGCCTGAATTTGAATATATAAAGAAGTATGTGTTAGACAAAAGCAAATTGTCTCAAAGATATTTTTTTCAAAAGGCAATTGGGGGTTCTTTGTTTTTCCTAGAAGATGTTTTGCTTCTCATCCAAGAAGCTTTTTCAGATACATAGCAAATTAGTATTCTAGTATGACACTGCATTAGTGCGGTAGTTCATTGTATTTCACACTTTAGAGTTAATAACATAATTATTTATTATTTTTTCAAATGTTACTAAGTTAGACAATAAAATGATGGCTTTAGGCATTACAGCTTCTGGGTATAGGCCATAGGGGCACCTAGCTCCGGCATCTTTCTTTGTGAAAATCTAGAATTCTCAATGGAAAGCATTATCTTGAATATAATCCATTTTGAGGTATATTTGTAATAATACTTGCAAAAAAAAAAAAGGTAAAATAGACAGGCCTTTAACACAATAAGTTTGCATTCATTTAACATATTTCCTTTCAGTGAGGTCTGCCTTTATATGTTTTTCTTTGCTTACATTTAAGTATGCATTTCTTATGGGGTTGATGAATTTTGACAATGTTCTTGCATTCTTGTTGACTTGGTTTGCAATATGGAATAGCTAAATACTACTGTGTTAATGAAACAACATGTAACATTGTCTCCCTTTATGTGTTTGTATTGCTCACAGCATGCCATGCCATTCTGGAGGATCTCAAGTCATTCTGACCTTATGGCACTTCATCATGCCTTGGAACTGGAGTACTTATAGTAGCACTTTGTAACTTCGGAACCTCCCTCACATCCGTGGACGATGTTCCTGAGTCTTGTTTCAGCACTGGCCTACAGAATTTTTTTGATTTCATCATGTTGATGTGCAGCTGCAGATGGTCTTAACCCTTGCCCTTTCAATAAACGGACAAGCACATCTATTTCTTCAGAAACAGCTGTTCATTCTAGTACTGTGAACCCAATGAGAACAAGCCATGGTGAGAATGTTTTAGCAATGTCTTCTTACCACATTCACTACATTTAAAAGTTCATACCTGTGAAGAGACTGGGATGTGCTTTGTGATTTCTAGAATCTCCAGTGTGGTATGAACACATCTTAAATACAGCAAACCTGATTGCACAACTAAGACTGAACTTTTTAAAAATGGACACCTTTTTAAAGGTTTACTTTTTTCTTGCTTTTTTCCTCAGATCCAGGGTACTCTGTAAATCTTTACTTATTTATGAACAGATTCTGTTTTGACATCATTTAAATGTGGATATGTACAATATGTGGGAAGGCTATAACTCGTCATTGCCTTCTGCTCACAAATTTTTTTTGTTTTAGCGCATTGCAAAGTAGAAGTATTTCTAATTTAAACAAATAAGTACATCACTGAGACAATCGTGTACAGGAAGAATGTTTTGTGTAAATTTCTAATGGACAATGTTTTACATATTGTTTAGGCAAATATTATTGAATAGTAGTAATGGATTTTTGGTGAAGAATGAGGCAGTATGTGCACAAACTATTGTGCTGTGCCTTATAAAAGAATTGTGTATAATGTATAAATTGAAATTTTTAAGATCAGTTTGTCAAGACCAAAACCATGGTTGTCAAGTGTCAATGAGGAATCACTTTTTATTCATTCTTTTAGTTTTCTTCTTTGCAAATCTATTATATCACAATATCAGCTCTCTAATTTTACCTTGCCTATAGTAGGCTATCCTCTCATTTATACTTTGTACTTGAATGTATAAGTTCAAGTGTAAAATATACTTAATTCAAATCAGATGAGAAAAAATAGCATGGTTAAATTGTCACTTTTTTAAAGTGCGTATGGAGGCCTGATTTAGCATTGTTTATGTGTACTTTGCCAAGAAAAGTAGCAGTTTACACATGAACGTGTATTCCTAACTGATATGAAGCATGTGTATTAGTACTGCTTGAAAAATGAGCACAGTGTTCTGTTCCTTTATTTAACTGGTTTGAGTCATAAACTGAACAGCTTTTGTCCGTGGAAGATGTTGAAACAATAGAATAATATTCCTAATGGATAAAATCAATTTTATTGATTATTTGTCTCCCGGGAATCCCCAGAAATATGTTGCTAAGAAATGGGATATGTTCCAGAACAGGATTTTAGGAGAAAGGAGATAGTGACAAAAATTGTCATTCCCTATTTCTATTTTTACTTTCAGGAGCAATATTACTGGAATTCTGCCAATGAAAATATATTTGCATTCAAGTCACTGTCTTCTCATGCAAATATTGAATGTGGAATCTATTCTTTTTGTCAGAAATATACAGAACTTTTTAAAAAGATAACCTTGTGTAATGTATCATGATTTAATAAAGTAAAAAAGATGTTTTGCACTCAAAACCTAAATATGAAATGTACCACGCTATCTTAAAATAAAACAGGGAATGCTTTTGGGAATTCAGTCAATACATACTGACTATGAAAATTAGTCTTGCTCTTTTAAAAATAATCATTTTTTTTTTGGAAAAAAATAAATTACACTTGAACAACCATATTCTATATATCTGGCCAGTACCAAATTCAGTGAGCTTAATTCAAAAGTAAGCATGTCTATTATTACTGTCTAAGTCTCATTAACACCTGCAATGGAAAAAGCCAGGCACAGTAGAAGTTAAGAATTTTAATATGGGTAATTCAGAAACAGAAACCCCAAATCTTTTCTAACTCTATATGGGAGCAAATTATGTCCCTAACGATGTGATGTTTACTTAAAATAAGAAGCAATGGCCCTGCACATTTCTTTAAGGATTAAAATGCATAAAACCTGCAAACATTTTGAAATGATTTTGTTTGTAAACCCACAGTTTGAAATGAAATTAAGAATGGCAAATGTCTGGTAGATCCTTAATTTTGACCATTTCACACTAACAATCAGATTTTTGTATTGGTTCGTTGCTGGCAATGGACACAGTAAAATTATTGCCAATTTTGTTTTTATTGTTTGTAGTTGTTTAATTAATTCTACCCTTTCTTACTAACCTGCAACAATCCTGACAGTTTTATTTTGAACTGACTTATATAAACCAATGTGGCTTTTTTGGCCAGAGTTAATAACAAATGCATCTTGTATTTTCTTCAAAAATTATTCTCTACTATATTATACCAACACTGGTGTGTTTTATCAAGATTAAATCATATTTAATCTGGATTCTTAACTGTTAATAAAAGGGAAGGAGAAATTGGCACAGGTTGAGAAAATATATATAATATCCTGTGAGCATCCATATTTATAACTATGGCTAAACAAAGCCCTTATTACACCAAAACCTGCCTGAATCTCTGCATGAGTATAAATTCTTGGCTTAAGTTTTATTATTAGGCACAGCTGGGTTATCTAGAAATACATATTTTACTTATATTTTACCACTTTCTAGATTTTTATTTTTGTGGAATAAGCCAGCTTTTAAGCCAGCTAGTAGCAAAAGTAGCTATTAGACAATTTGTGTATGTGATTCAGCCAAGATCCAACCTGAACTTGTAATTTGATTTAAAAATTCAATTCACATTCATAATCTGTAGGTTCAGCTGAATAAATCCAAACAGGCACATGTGTGAAAGTTTGATGATTCGCCCTCAATTTGAATCAAAGTTTCACAGAGTCTTATTGGGGCAACTCCTCTTTTTGTGGGGGATGCATATTGCTGCTGAAGTTTGTTATTTTGTGGCTTATTTCAAACTATTTGATTGTAAATATAACCCTTCATTTTCAGTAGCTTGATCTACCAAAAACAAGTCAATGCTAGGACTACTTAAAGTCTGTGGTTAAGCAGACATGTTAATTGCGAAGCTGGTTTTTGTTTTAGGCAAAATATGGTTTTTTTTCCTGCCACCCCTCCCATTTTTTGGGAGGAAGTTAGTCTGTATGCTGACTAAAAGTATGTCTGGCCCTTGTTGTACAAACAGTGTGTTGTATCAACCATTATGTACAGAAACTTTCTTCTATTTACTTTGTGTTTAAATTAATAAAATTGATTTGTGACATAGCCATTTTGAATGTATTTGAATTCTCCCATCCCTTAACATATAATATCTTAGTCATCTCCTTTTCAAAAATCTAGTAGCATATTATATGGGTTTCTTGGTAGAAAATTCTACAGTAGAAGCTATATGTTGATATAATGTATCAGGCCTCACCCAAAGAATTCAAGTGCAGATGTGAGGGCAATAGGCACAGCTCACTAAAGAGATCTCTATGGATTCAAAGTATTTTTGAGTCTTTTACCCAGCTGGGATTTAATTCCAAAAGGGTGCTTTGGAATATATGGGAATATACCACCTATCTGAGGGTCCTTGGAGCTCTCTGAACTTGGTTGTTTTCTTGCAGACATTTCATTACCTTAACTAGATAATATCTTCAGTGCATGTTTCAACCCTGAAACTCAACTCCTTTACTGACAGCACCTGTCTGCAACTTTTTTTTGGTACTTCTTTTGGGATTGGTTTGATCTGTTTTAGTTTGTCTTCATATTTTGCTCTTCTGGTCTCTTGTATTCATTTTATATGATGGGGTTTTTTTTTAGCTGTAAGCTGCCAAAAAGTCGTATAGGAGTTTGGCTGCCCATTTAAATAAATAAATTCCTTAAAAGCAGGCACATCTGTTACTATGAACACATGGCAGCCTTTTGCAGCCATCAAATATAAACCATTGCATAGGTTTACTATTTGGGATTTTTTTTTAAAAATCAGGTGATATAATCACCTATATTCATATTGGTTTAAATTATCAAGCTATCTTCAAAGATGTGTCCCAACTGCATAATGTAATTGTTTAGTTTTGAGATAGCATGAACATATCTAGTCACAGATGAAGCTTTTACAGAGGAACACAATCCCATTTAAAAAAAAAACCTGAAGATAATGTCTTCATTGATAACTCTGGCCTGTAAAGCATTGAGGAGTACAGAAGAATTAGTGTTATCAGAATCCCATTGTCTGTTTTCCAGTTTAATTTCTCTACTAGAAATTTACAAGCCTACATTCTATTTAATAAATAGTACATCTTTTAAAAATTTTGACATTATTTTGCCGTGCACTTCTATTTTATCTATTTACTATTTGAAAAATAGAAATTCAATCTTTTACCTTAATATTGAAATGAAATGCTTAATAACTTTGATAAAACTTTGAGATATATGTTTTCCACTAAAAACTGACCCTTTCATTTCTAATTACATGTGTTCAATTATTCTGCTCTACAAAATGTATGGTCAAAATCAATGAGCATTTAGAGGAAAGGAATGTCATGGATGATGATCGAAATTATATGTAAAGATTATAAACAATTGACTATTATTTTGTTTCTGGAAAAGGGGCTACTTTAAATTAGTATATACAAGTATTTTTTGGGGTGAGTGACACTTGGCTTGTATGCAAATATGTTGTGGTTAAAAATATCTGCATAAGGATATATTTTAATCTATATTTCTTGAGAGAAAAGTACATTGAATTTAGTCTAGTCTGAGTCCAGATCAGATGTATTAAAATTAATATGACAATCTTACTGGTTTCAATTGTATTGGTGATAGTCAATGATAGGGCTTAAATATATCACCTTGTATTGATGAAGGGGACTTGCAACAATATGAGCTATACCTTTGGAAGTATATGAAATGCAACTTATTCCACTATTCTACTTTGAAAGCAAAATGAATATTCATAACCAAGAATTTGTCAATATGATATGTAGCATGAGCGTCAGACTGAAGATATCCCAAAAGCTACTGAGAAAGAACGGAAAGTAAGTATAAGTACATATTTGTATACAAATATGCCCAGAACTAAAATAAAGTTTGATGCTGCAGGATATGTATACAATCCATACACAAAATGTCTGAATCAGAAACTAACACAATTGTAATGTTAGAGGAAATCAAGATAGAACAGAAATGTATTTGGACTCAATGAACAACAAAAATTATCAAAATGTGTCACTATGAGAAAAACATCAAGATATGCTGATGACAAGATCATAGAAGAAATGAAATAATCATCATTCTAAACAAAAAAAGGTAAAGATGCAAATCAATATTATGATGATGCAAATGTATACCACAAATCCAGGGGAAGTACAACACTTTTATGATGACTTGAAACAACCTGTTGACAAAATAACCAAAAAGGTATCAAACTATTTGTAAGAGACTGAAATGTTAAAGTTGAAAGTAAAATAGCATCTGGAATAATAGGAATATTTGCCCTTGGTTCTGAACCAAAGCAAGAGACAGACTAATACATTTATGCCAAGAAAATTCAATGGTTATAACAAATGAATACCTCTTAACAATCTCAAAGACATCTGGACATGTAAATAACACTGAAATTGAATTCTCTACATTCTAGAACCAATAAAAGAAGATCTAGCTGACTGCTGATCACAAATTCATTGCAAAATTACAACTTAAGTTAGAATAAACAAAATCATAAAACAAACAAGATAGAATTTCTGCAGTATTCAATGTGATTATGTGGTGACTATAGATTTGATAAATAATTCAAATGAAACTTATAACATTATTAAAGCAAACAAATATAAATTTGCGGGAAAGAGGAAAGAGCTACATGCTGACAAGAGCTGAAGAAAAATAGACAAAAAGAACAGAGATAAATTTGCCCAATGTCAAGCTCTACATAAGAGCAAGAAAAGGGGTGGGGAAAACTGTATTTAAATAAGTAGTTCAAATAGATAATCAAGTGAGAATGGACAATGTATTTGTTTTAGAAAATTACAGGAATCAAGGGAAATCTTTATACAAAATATAAGGCAAAGAAGGGAAAAGAACTCTTGGATAAAGATAAAAATAAGAAAGTAGACAAACTGAGATTATATATGCAAAGGCTTAATCACTAAAGCAGAGCCAGACATTCTGGAAAGTAAAGTTCAATGACCTAGAAAAATTATACTTAAATCAAGGCTGCAAGGTTTTTTTTTTGTTTTTTTTTTGTAAATTTTATTTGAGTTTTCACAAAGAGAAAAAAATACAAATAAAACATCTTTTTTGAAAGTAGCGTAATCCCGGGTTACATTTCTTTGTACAGACACAAATTCAGGTTCATGCTCATTTTTATATTCTATTCCATATCTTATTACTATTTTACATTTTCTGCATAGCTTCTCCCCTCTTTTAATTTTCTCAATTTTA